AACAAGGCATTTGCCTTGGGCGGCATTTTTCAGGGGGCGGCAAAAAACGCCGCCCCCCAAATGCCCAGGCAAATGCTTTGTTAGCCTCGCGGCTAACTGACCGGTTGGGCTGGCGGGCGGCGCTGGGCAGGCGGCTGGCGAGGGAGCTCTTCCCCTGAGCGGTCCGCTCAGCTCCCTCGCGTGCCGAAGAGTGAGGCTGGGAACCGGAAGATGACGTCATCTTCCGGCTCCCAGCCTCACTTTGCGGCGCGCGAGGGAGCTGAGCAGACCGCTCAGGGGAAGAGCTCCCTCGCCAGCCGCCTGCCTAGCCCAGCCGGCATCCACTGGACCACCAGGGAGGTAATGAACCCCTCCCCCCCAGTACTCCCAAAGGTAAGGGGGGGGGGCTAAATAAAAATAAATAAAAAAATGTGTTAATGTGAGTGAGTGAGTGAGTGAGTGAGTGAGTGTCTGTTAATGTGTGTGTGTTTTGTTAGTGTGTGTCTGACTGTGTCTGTTAGTGTGTATGTGTGTGTGTCTGACTGTGTGTCAGTGAGTGTGTGTTTGCCTGTGTGTGTGTGTGTCAGTGAGTGTGTGTTTGCCTGTGAGTGTGTGTGTGTCTGTTAATGTGTGTGTGTTTGTTAGTGTGTGTGTGTGTGTGTGTCTGCTAGTGAGTGAGTGTGTCTGTTTGTGTGTCAGTGACTATGTTTGTCTGTTAGTGTGTCAGTGAGTGTGTGTGTATCTGACTGTGTGAGTGTGTTTGCCTGGGAGTGTGTGTGTTAGTGAGTGTGTGTCAGTTAGTGAGTGTGAGTGTGTCTGTTAGTGTGTGTGTGTTTCTGTTAGCGAGTGTATGCGTATCTGTCAGTGAATGTGTGTGTGTATTTAGAAGGCGGGGTGGAGGTTGGTGCAGGGGGGGTTGGCGCGGGGGGAGGGGAGGAGCGCCTGCGTTTTGTCCTGCCTAGGGCAGCACAAAACCAGGATACACCACTGGTTCCCTCCCCTACTTTCCCTCCCCTCAGAGTGACACTTAATCCACTTAATCCTGGCACCTTTTCCCCTGTTTTCTTGGATGTACCCTAAAACCATGGGGTACCAGGACTTAAGTGGCATCCCCTGGTAGCTCTGGTCTGGGTGACCAACATACTCAAAATTCACCCAGATCAGACCAGGGGTTCGGGAGTTATAGACATTAAACGATTTGACCGACCGCACATAAACATGTAGCCGAAAGGAGTTCTATTTATTCTGGCCCTGCGGTCGGTATTCGTTTGGGAGATGAAATAGACATAAATTCTTGACATCCATAGAGAATACCGGGTTCGCATGAACCCCCTTGTTCGGTATATTGAACTCACGGAACGGGGAGTCGATTAGCCCCTCCGTTCGTGAGTTCTGGAGCTCGGGAGGTCTCAGCGGTGTTCGCGCAATTGAGTGTCCAATTTGGGTACTAGACACTCGATGACCAAACACCGCTGAGAGTTCGTGGGTAAGATGGCCGCCGCCACGTGTTCGTCTACCGAATGGCGGCCACCCAGATACATCAATAAAACCTCAATTAGCTGCGGTTACAAAGGGAATAAAGGTTTAACGAGGGACACACTTCAGCTCTAAGGTGGTCTATGCATTCGGTAGTTTCCATTCGTATAACTATGAAGGAAACTACCGAACTAACATACAAACTTAGATGCAATTTTCACTATACATTCAGTTAAAACAGGCGAACAGTCTTTTAAAACATAATTCTGGCGGATAGTCACAGGCCATCCGCTACATACCCCAACCGTACCCGTACTGTACACCCCCTTACCCATACTGTACCTATAATATACCCCAACCGTACCCGTACTGTAAACCCCCTTACCTATACTGTACCTATAATATACCCCAACCGTACCCATACTGTACACCCCCTTACCCATACTGTACCTATAATATACCCCAACCGTACCCGTACTGTAAACCCCCTTACCCATACTGTACCTATAATATACCCACGATCTCCGCTGGTTCAGAAGGTAATCCACAGTCAAGCGCTGAAAAGTAAGGCAATATCCCAAATCTCCCAGTAACCGGATGAAACACAGTTCTGAGAGTCAACTGAAGGCTTTATTCACAGGCTCCACAATGTATACAATTCCCCATGCAAGGGGTTTCCTGAGTCCTATCCCAGGGGCATTCCCAGAGTGGACTACCTGGGGAACTTACATTACAGAGCCTTTCCCCCATCAGGCACTGCTGCACGAGAGGGATCCTCCCACTGGAATGTACCGTTAAGTGGATTATCCCTCTGTGCAGCAGAACCGGCAATTTACTTTAAAATATACAGTTTTTCGACTATTTGGTCTATTTGCACGAATGGACGTTCGGTAGATAGCTGGGGTCTGAGCGCATCATTCGTGAGATTACCGCTCAGATCCCAGCTAAAACAACCAAACGCCGCACGAAAAACACATTCATTAAAACACATATTCAAAAGACCGATTGAAGTATAGGGAATAAAATACCGAACGGCCCGATACTCCCGAATGGCCTGGAAGTTCAGCGGTGTTCGCGCCGTTGAGTAGCCGTTTTTAGTTCCACGTGCTCGACGACCAAACACCGCTGAGGGAACAAAGGACCCAAGATGGCCGACCGCCGCATGGTCGGTAGTCGAACGACGGCCACCTAGGAGAGCCTCTAATTACAATGTTGCAATCGGTTAACAAGCACCACACGTCTCTCAATGTGTGGGCTGTTACAGGGAGGTTTATTCGGTTCACGAACAGCCCACAAAGGTGCCGTTCGTGAAACGAAAGGAAATCAGCTATCTGCTTTCGGCAGATAGCCAATGCAGGCAATACAGTGTCACACAATCACATTACATTACACCCAGGAACACACATATCATGCAAATCATACAGGCAACCCTTAAAGCGATAGTACTTAAATAATGTGGCAAGGTTTGCCACACTGTACACCCCCTTAGCCATATTGTACCTATGATATACCCCAACCGTACTCATACTATACACCACCTTACCCATACTGTACCCATAATGTACCTCAACAGTACCCGTATTCTACACCACCTTACCCATACTGTACTTATAATATATCCCAACCATACCCGTACTGTACACCACCTTACCCATACTGTACCTATAATATATACCTGTCTGTCCACAGTATGTCCAACATAGATTAGATATGGAGAAGTGTAGTTGGAACATTTTAAATGGGGAGAAGTACTAATGATAAATTAGTTTTAAATGAGATTCTAAGTGGGAAATGCAATATGTAATGTCTTTCAACGCAAGTAATGAATCATGCCATTCCTCCACTGTGAGTACCTCACCCAGGTCACTCTCCCACTTTGTCATGTATGACAATTTCAGGCCCACTTCTCCTGCAAAAAAGGGCAAAGCACATGGAGATGGTTTGTTTCCAGCCAGGGTTAAACCTTTTATGAATTTGACAAGTCCAATTTTCTAGCATTCAGATTTTGGTTGGAAATCCCAAAATGTTGCAAATTTTTTGAACCAAATTCTCATGTGCAGGGGCATCAAAAATACTTAAGTGGAATTTCTAAAAAATTAGACTATACGAAACAAATCATTAATACAATGAATTGAATGAGAGGACCAATAGTCTACATCTAATTCAGGCATAACTAGTTTTTATACTGACAGAGAGGTGGCTCTAACCAGAGAGCAGAAGGGTGAATTTTCCAAGCCTTAATAGTGATTTTAGTTGTAAAAAACATGTCTGCCCCTCTCAAGTCCAGTTCGGAAGGTTTTATGCACTGAGATGGAAGCAACCATTAAATATCTTTATTCGAATGCGGAGAGAGTTTGCTAGCCTCCATCTCAAGTTCTTGGTTGAGTGCAAGGTCTCCGAAAATACTGAGGGCGGACCTATGAAAAGTCAGCCTTTGCAAGAGGGTGTGGAATGAATGAACAATCGCGCAGTGGGTGTGGTTTATGGAAAATGTCTAAGGGCACCTATCAAACCTAGTTTGGTGACTTATGTAGATTCAGTCAGTAATCTTAAATTCACAGTAATCAAATGGACAAATATCTAACTCCCAGTAATTCATCCAGCTATTCTCTAACTCCAAATAATACATCCAGCTAACCTCTAACTCCCAGTAATACATCCAGCTATCCTCTAACTTCCAGTAACTCATCCAGCTAACCTCTAACTCCCAGTAATACATCCAGCTATCCTCTAACTTCCAGTAACTCATCCAGCTAACCTCTAACTCCCAGTAATACATCCAGCTATCCTCTAACTCCCAGTAACTCATCCAGCTAACCTCTAACTCCCAGTAATATATCCAGCTATCCTCTAACTCCCAGTAACTCATCCAGCTATCCTCTAACTGCCAGTAACTCATCCAGCTAACCTCTAACTCCCAGTAACTCATCCAGCTAACCTCTAACTCCCAGTAATATATCCAGCTATCCTCTAACTCCCAGTAACTCATCCAACTCCCCAGTAACTCATCCAGCTAACCTC